CATAACGTTATTGAGCCTCCCAGGTAAAGTCTACGCAAAGGAGTTAGAAAGGAGGTGCCGTGAAATAGTTCACCTCAAGATCCACGAAGAGCAGTGTGGCTTCCTCCGGTCGAAGCACCTCTGACCATATATTTGCCCTACGCCAGATTGTTGAGAAATCGCGGGAGTACGCCCAGCCGGTGTACATGTGTTTTGTGGACCTAGAAAAAGCGTATGACCGGATCCCACGCAACAGTCCGTGGACATGCGTTCTGCATACGGGATTGATGGCCAGTTGCTAAGGGTCATCCAATCACTATATTCTGATAGCAGGTGCTGTGTCAGAGTTAATGGCGTTAAGTCGAAAAGATTCAGTGTTCGCACTGGTCTCCGCCAAGGCTGTGTCCTGTCCGTTCTCCTGCTTGAGTTGCAAATGGATGGAATAGTCAGGCGCGACTAAGGCGATAGGTGTGTCGGCGTAGGTTAGGAGATATCAAGACGAAAAAATCGCTGTTTGTAAACGACCTAGCTCTGAAACTGATCTCCAGCGATCTCTGGAAAGGTTTGCAGCTGAGTGGAGCGTACTTGCATGCTATGAATGTGTTTAAAACGAAAAGCCTAGTTTTCTAGTTCTGCTGCCCACTGCTCTCCGCAGAAAAATGGCGAAGCAGTGGAATGGGTAAAGAAGTTCACGTACTTCGACGTCGTGTTTACTGGTGATGGAAAATCAAAGGAAGAAATCGATCAGCGAACCGAAATGACTAGTGGCGTCCTGCCTGAACTAGCCCCAACCGTTATGACTAAAGCACAGCTGAGTCATAATGCTTGGCTCTATACGTTCAAATCGATCTTCACCCAAAGCAAATCTACCGTCATGAATCGTGGGTCATATCTGAAGAACTTTGACCCCGGGTATAAGCGGTTGAAATTGGCCTTCTGAGACGAATTGCTAGTCTCACGCGTTTCGAAGGTCCGTAGTACAGATATCTGTTAAAGCCTTGGTATACAGCTTCCGCTTCTTCAGACCGAGAAGTCACAGCTGGGGTGGTTTGGGTCTGTGCTGTGAATGCCTCTAGAAAGGAAGGCGGCGTAACTACTACTTGCCTAACAGATCGATAGAAGATTTTAGGGACAACAAAGATTAACGAGGGGTAAGCGTCTCGTCAGACTCTGCTCTACAGTCGGATTGTCTTCGGCCGAAGGAGAAACGCTGGTACCGGATGGGAATAGCCTGTTTTCGTGACTCAAAGGGAAGAGGCCGTGGAAATTGTATTGGATTGTTACAAAGGTGGTTCAATACTAAATATAATGATAAGTTTATATACGAAAGCTCTAATAAATTTAATGCCCTGTCGAATAAGTATGAGAATATCAACTCGAGCTTGGGCTACAAATTGCCATGTAATCAATGGAAATAATACATGGGAGTAACAGGGAACACCGTCATTCAAAGAAAAAGGACTCACTTGTTCTTTTGGAGAAAAGGGACGGCCGCGGAACAGAGTATATGAGATGTGGTAACGAAACGTCTTGAGAAACAACAAAGTGTCGTTCTCAGTCAGGTCAAGGAAAAATGCCAAAAATCGCCGGGATTGTGCAGTACGCAACAAAGCCAGGACTCGTTCCCAATGATCTACGGAGAGTACCGGCTGCATCAAAGAAAGACACACGCTGAACAGACGCATCAAGGAAGCAATAATCACCCAATCTAATGATAATATCAAATGAGAAAAATGGTACGAAATCCGTGCGGACTGGGTTAGCCTCGTCGCCCCTGTGGCCAGAAAATTACTCAATTAACATCACACAACAAAAGCTTGGCTTCTGACTCTGAACATGCGAATTGCC